TTGAAATAAAATTATAATGTAAATTTAAAAATAATACAAAGAAAATAATTGTAAATATGAATTGTAAAGATGAAAAATCCTTATTCGAAAAACATAAAAGGTAGTTAAAGCAAAGAGGAAAAACTATAAAACATTCCTATCTAAATCAATTAATCGTTCATACGTCGCGACTACAAAATTTTGCGAGTCCAATTCTTCGTAGTTCTTTCTACGCACAGAAGATGTCATGCAGTGTCGTACTTACCGCTTATGCTCGACATCTCTTGCTAACTACAGATAAACTCTGAATACCCCTCACACAATTCTCAAGTAATGATACATGCCCAGCCACATGGTGCACAAGGACGTTAGAATTGCATTGAATTGTATGGAATCATTTAAAACATTACACGTAACTGTCATGTCCCACCAACAGCCACGTGTGTTGTTGTGACCTCCTTACAAACCAACAGTAAGTTAATGTCGTAGTGTTGTACGTCAGTGTGTCATGTACCTCGAACTGCGTTAAAACCATTACCTCAGCAGGTTCGTTACAATCTTCCTCCTCGGTGACGCCTTGTTTAGCCAAGAGATCCGGGCGGTTCTGCTCCAACCGGCCAAGAACAGAGTTCAGCAGCTCATCAGAGTTTGAATTTCGCAGCATTTGGTCTAAGAAAGTGTCTGGTTCAGAGAGCGTAGAACCCAGGAACAAAATCACGCAGAATGCCTGTGTAATATAAATGTATACGTCGACTATTGTAAGGTATAATTTTATAGACAATTTGTACATAATATTACGTATATTGAGAATAGACGTCAAAAAAGTGAAGAGCCCTTTAGATATCGGCGAGGCGTTATTAATGCTTTGTATAAACTATTTTGTTACATTCAGAAATAATACGCGCGTAGCGACCAGGCCACGAGTCAGCTATATTGGAAAACTCGTGTAACTTAGTGAATTGTTTCAACTAAGTGTAATCGATCGGAAATAACTTTTGACAAGATTAGGAATTAATTTTATTAAATTTTAATAAATAAAATTTAATTAAATTTAAATTTCATAATTTTTTTAAGATCTTCGGCCGCTACCTTTATAATTGGCGAAGTCTTTAGGATACCCCAATAAATTAGTGTAGGGCATTTCTAATGTTGATCAGTAGGTACTATAATCGCTACTGCCGCGAGGGATCGCGTCGCCCCACCCCGTTCGAGTATTCAAAAAATAACTTGAGACCACAGCTGGGAGAGGCATAGAATCCAGACATAAATTCGTAGCGAACTAAAATGTATGTGTGAGTCAAACAAGTACATTGAATTATCCTATATTGCTTGCCCTTTTTAATCTCTAGTTTCCTTAATTCTCTTCTAATTGTAATTTTAATTGCTTCAAAATTTTTTATCCAAAGAATAATCCTTTGAGTAGTACGTCGAGTAGGAATTTACGCAGGAAGGCAGTAGCACAAACTTGAAAATTTACGTATAATTGCAGAGAAATTAAAATGGCAATAATTTCAATGAATATTAAGAAATATAGATACTTAAATATAGATAAGAAGAAATATGTATTTTAAAGTACTGAGAGCAGAACAAGAGTTTGACGGAAAATCGAATGTTCTCTCACTTTTCATTAAGCCTTGTGATCAGATTTGTTCAATACATTTAAGCAATGCACCATGCAATGAGTTATACAAACTTTGTCTTATTAACGGAATATTAAACAAAATTACTGGACCAATTATAATTGTTCCGCTTTACGGGATAAAACAGCCCTTAACAACGATTCGTTTGTTACACACAAAGGTCACCTCAAGAATTCATTTAGCACTAAAAATGTACCTATTTAGCGCTATAAAACCTCATACAGGGTTATTTGTAAAACAATAACAACCTCGCAGAGCTATGTTACTAACATCATAAATAAAGTTCTATGACTTTTAATCAGATTTTACTATCGTACAAAAATAACTAAATAGATCGCTCAGAACTTAAAAGTTTATTTTTGGTAAATTTATTCGAATCCGGTCGGATCAAAAGAATTTTTCTGAGTGTTCAACAAACTAGTGGAGTAATTTCACGTAAAAAAAATTTCATATCAATTCAATAAAAATTTTAATTGATTATGTTTTGTAAAAAATCACGGTGCAAAAGTTGTTATTTATGACGTTAGTAATACATGCGTGGTTGTTGGTATTTTAAAAGTAACTCTTTAAACGAGTATATTAGGCAAAATGCACCAGGTGCCCGCGACTTCGTCTGCGTAGAATAAGTACTTTGAGCAGCCTACTATACTATTTACTCAAGAAATGATTGGTTCTCCATACAAACTACTTACTTGAGAAATGATTGGTTCTCCATACAAAATTTCATCCCCCCTTTAAGATTTATTTTTGTGACTCAACGTCCTTCTCCTAGGTCACATCTATCTCTGTACCAAAATTCATCATATATGGTTAGGCGTGTAAACGTAACAAACAGAGTTAATTTCGAATTCTTAATATTAGTTTGGATAGGCAACTAAGGCATTTGCAACGTGAGTTAAAATAGCCCTTAGGCAGTCGCAGTAAGCGATCCAATAATATCGAGAAAACTCTGTGATATGTGCAAGAAGAGACGAACATTATGTGCATGCAACAGAAAATTAACTTCGGACTTCGGAGAGGAAAATTAATTTAAATAGACACCTCCAACCAGTTGGTACCGTAGGTACTTCTATTTGTACCGCACCAATGTTTATGCTCAGAGGGCCTACCACAACCTCTTAAAACAATATTACTTTAACCTTACATTGACTTTTCATACCATGACGCACTTAAAGTAAGCTTACTATAATGTTAAAACTACAATGATTTATTGGCAGATTTGTGACTATTCATTCGCTCATTTCGTACTATGACGCGACTTTAACATTATAATAACATTGTTCTTATGTCAAATTTAGCAATCTTAAAATAGTTACACGGATGCAATAGAAACAATATTATTTTCGAATTTATTGTCTAAATATTGATTTGTAATGATTAAAAGGTAAGTTGAACTTATTTATTTACATATATCTCTCCAATATTTTGTTTGTTTTTTATTTAATAGTACATAGGATATAATTTTTCTTTAAATAAAAATACGCCATGTTTATTTCGTAAAATTATGACAGCGACATCTATATACTCCTTGGCGACACTAACAGTTGACCCTAGACCATAATTCCAAATCTTAGAGGATGGAAAAAAATTGGTTTCCATTATAATTGTAAGTCAATGGTTTCCATAGTCAAAGTTCCGAATTCACAACGTGACAATCAAGACTCAGCTTGTTTTATTTATTTTTCTTCATGAAAATGCGGAAAAAATAATAAATAAAACAAAAAAAAAAAAAAAGAAAAAAAACAACGTAATTTTAATAGATTTCATTATTACATACTTTGCTTTTTTGGTTAAAATTCTCTGAACGTAAATAATATTAAGTACTTTAACATTATACTACGATATGATGATATGTAACATCAAAAAAGAAAGAGATGATATTATACAGTTCATATAGCGTTATTTCTTTCCTGTTTTTAGTAAGGAATAGACAATATAGGGAAATCATTCGTTCATTCAGTCACTTTAGCAATAATACATTACTTGGTTGATAGGTTTATCGTGGTACAAATATGAATAATATTATAATAAGCTTACATTAAAATATGATTGTTTTTTGAAAGATTATATAGATATGCGCGCCGCCGCCGCGTTTTTCCTCGCGTCGCCGCCGCCGCCGACAATGCAATCGGAGCACCGTTCAATTCGATCAGGCGCTCCGATCGCACGCACGCGCACGCTTCTGTATTGTATATGTGAGAATGGCGACGCCAGAAAATGACTTTTCTAAGATAAAATTATTTATTTTATCTTAGAAAATAATATTTTATTTTGGTAATATTTTATTTTATTAATTACATTATAAATGTCAGTTCGCATTAGGCCTCCATCGCACCTGGTGGAAAGTGACGATGAGGTCGACGATGGAGCATGCACACCTAAATAATGCCTATTCACTTTCGCTTATATATATATACGTACAGCGCCTAAATTTTACTTAAGGAGCAATTATTTTAGTGGTTGGTTTTGCTATTCTCCAATTCAAGGCGTTTTTCTCTCTCAATATACTTTGAGTAGTGAAAGCCGATTTTTATTATCTCCTGTGTCAATTCCTGTATAGTGGCGAACTAGAGGCTAAAACTTGGCAAATAGATGTAATTCCACGTACGTTTGAGGTCGGTTTTTTTAGTAGGTACTCTGTACTGAGATTATTGTATAAGTTTATTTTTGCAATCGCATTGTAGGTACTTATTAATTATAATAAAAGCATACCTCTTGGTTTTGATATTTGTTCTTTTTAAATACTTATATTGTTAAAAAGTAATAAATGCAGTTAAAGAACTATGAAATGTATGAATGAACGGTATGAAATCTTAAAATAGCGTCCTTCCTAGTAGGAATAAGTTTTCGTTAGTTTATACCATCCACCATGGTCCTGCCTTAGGGTAGTATTCTAGGACTCTACTCAATGCTCAAGTCAGGATTGCACTGCAACACAAGCACTGGAAATACGACCCTAATGGCAGGGACTTGAGAATGATTTCGAGTGCTTTAAACCATACTCAAATCCTGACTTGAGCATTGAGTAGAGTTCTAGAATACGACTCTTAGTCTCAATATCTACGACTTGCATTTTTGACGTTGTCATATATCTAACCCAACCTACTCTGAGCTTACTTTGCCTTAGTTTACTGTTGGGCCCTCAGATTACAGAACTTTGTAATTTGAGGGAGATTAGAAATTTTGTCTGTCATTCACAGGTAGGTACAATTCCAGAGGTTGTGGGAAAAAAGGAACATTTTAATAATGCTATAACTATTTGAAATTTTATAGTTTTCAGAAGATAAGTGACAAACCGTTTAATATTTGCACATACCTAGGCAGTCGGTATGACTGATAATTAAGTATACTTTTTTGGCTAAACACGTGATTTCCCGTCTAAAAGCGTCAACCACTGGATCACTTGCCTTATCTATTTATTTACTTCAATGTTTACAAGGGTGTCTACAAATAATAATGACTAACTCCCAAAATGTCCACGTTGCGCACGACTATGTGCCGGTGCATGGTCGCAAGCGCAAGCCCGTAATGGCGGAGGCCGCGGTTGATTAGTCATAATCTCGCACTGACAGACCTCTCTGTCAACTACGCAGGAAGACAGTGGTCCGCAACATTTTTTTGTAAAGTACAAAGAGGTACTGTTCTGTAGAGTTTGAATGTTTTTTTCTTTATGTTACTTTTTTATCTTGGGTGCACGTAATTTTCTTTAAAACTGTTCTTTCTTCAATTATGTTATGAAACATAGCACGAATTTTTACAATTTAGACTCACTTGACGTAATGTTTATTCAGATGAGATGTGAAGATGTGCAACATGATTGTGTCTATTATATATATTTATACATTGTAATGTATATTATGGACATTATATATTATAAAATAAGCCTCTCTCTGAACAAATGCAATGTATATAGAGGAACGACCCTTTCCATTGTAAATTAAAGATAATAAAAAGGAATAACGACAATAACAACACAATAAGATCATAAAACGCTAGGCTAGCATTAGGATGGGCCGCATTCGATAACCTGGATGACATCCTGAAATCGCTTGGTAACCCGCTCATTCAACCAATGTATGCTATGCGCCATAATCATGACTCAGAAGGCTGTGAAAGTTAAACCATCAAGCGTGACATGCCCGGCATCGAACTTATAGACCGTGTTCCATAATCTGAAGGCGAACTAAGGTACAAGACATCGAAGATCGGACGACGGAGTTCAGATGGATCTGGGAAATTTATTGCAAGGTGTGGTGATGAGAGGTGAAGCGAGATGACGCGATGTGATAATGGTGGCCAAAAAGCCGTTATAGAAATGTCGTAGATTATAGAGACTAACGCAGGACCATGGTGTATGGTATAAACTAAGGAAAACTTATACTTAATAGTTGGCGAAGTTGGGTTGTCATGTTAAAAACGATAACTCCTAATACTGCCATAAAACTATACTTCTCATTGAAAAACTCGATCGATCGTCACAAACTTCCTTCCTTGTTCGGTACTTCTAAGACATTGAAAGTATTACAAACAAGTTGCGTTCATCCAACGAGCTCAGAGAAATGTGAGGTTTCCTACTCGGGCGACACGTACAAAAAGATCATACAAAGTTTAGATTGCACACTTCTGTAGTCGTAATTTTGCCCTCCGGGTGACTCTTACAATTCCATTGCGAATGATTGCCGACTAACCACAGTGTTGGTTAGTCTAGATATAATAACACGCGGTGTGTGTAAAAAGTATTCGGAACCATGCGTAAAACTAACATTAACGGACATGTAGACCTTGTATTTCCATCCATTTTTTTAAGGTAAGGTTGTTTAGATGTAATTTTATCCTTCTGCTAGTGAATTCATTAATAATTTAATTGCACTTATGTTGCACAAAAGTACGACTTCCGTACATCAAATTATTCATAAGAAAATATTTATAAGTGTTACACTTAAGTACTTAAGTACGAAATAACGTAAACGTGTAATTTTCGTTATTTTAATAACATTGTACGTATTCAAAGAATATATATTTAATTTCACAAAATTTACTTCTTTATTAATATTTCCATCAAAGTGCATATTGAATTCACTAATATATATAGATTTGTTTCTATAGCCAAGATTACATGTTGCAGAATATCAATTCACACATGGGGTATATGCTATCTATAATTAAATTAGTAATATTCGACCCGTCATTTTATTGGAGTAATTTATATGGTTGATCCATGTACTTAGTAATAAATCTGCGTGAAGAAGTAATTGTTTTGTTCAAATTTCTTATTTCGATTTAATAGTAGGTACCTACTGAATTAAAATATTTATTCTAAGTGAAGAAATAAACTTCTCACAGATGGCGCTAGGGAAAAATAGTCGTTAAAAACCAAAAAGAAAGATCTGCAAGAAGCACATAGAACAAGACGTAAGGTCTGCTGGTTCGTTCCGTTGATTAAATGGCAGAGCATCTGACATGGATTGCTCGAGCGTGCTGGTTCGAATCCAGCCGAATCAAATGAATTTTTCTACGTGTTCGATCTTTGTTATTAATAATTATAACAAACTAGTGGAGAAGGCCATATGCGCTTCAGTTATGCTGTCAATTATGGGATTACTTTCTACCTATCACTGCTATTTATATACCTTTCGTAAGGCCCGAGAACTACGATGTAGATTAGTCTCGAATGATCAATGAACATAATACTTGTATGATTTTTTAGTAGAGTAGTGCAAGTTAAGTTTTTGTGGAAAGTGTATCTGTTACGACATGTTTTACAGTAACTTCTTCACACTTTTGGAGAAGGAAATTCACACATAAAAAGAAATTAGAATGATTGATATTTAGATATTTTTTATGTGTATATGATGCGTACCACAGGGTGTACCTGGCGCGGCTACCAGTCATCAGTTATAGTCTTGTTAAAATCTGTATTCGGAAATCAAAATTACCATTGTAAGCTGCTGGGACATTTTTTTTTAATTTTCGTACTATTTATTGCAGTGCCGTGTAGTAAGGCGTAATAAGGTTTTGGGGCGTCCTGGTCGATGAGCAAAATATTAATTCGCTCTTATTTTTTCAGCGGACAAAAGTTGGAAGTCATTCGTAAACATCGAAACACGTTTTGTCCAAATACAGAGGATTATTCTAAAAACGATGCAAAAAGGCAGGTATACACCTATGTAGACGGCACACGTTTACATAAATATCTAGAACTAATTAATTCTTACGAGCTAAGAATCACACAACGGTATTGCATCGCTTATTTTACCTACAAACTTTGCATTAATTATGCTATTATTATTACCAATATTATTACGCAGAGTACAAAAAGTTTGAACAGAACAGAGTTTGAAGTACATAAAGTGGAGAGATTAATGTAGAGTCCTCAATGTCCTTTAAATGAAAAAAGAGATACCTTGAATATGTAGATACTAAATAATGTAAAATTTTCAAAATTACTGTAGAAGCCGACAGAAAACTATACAGATGAAAAATCGGCAAAGAAAGATAGATTTTTTAATCATAATCAGAATGTAGACGTAGAACCCCGGTTAAAACAAACTTTCATAAATAATTAAGATCAGAATAGAAAAATATAGCGAAAATAAAATCAACGTATTAATTAGCCTAGTAAAGTAAAATTATTTTACCTTTTAATTTAAAATGTACAAATTTCTTATTTTCCACACATTTAAAGTAACCACGATACGCTAAAATATGTGTACAGACAATAAAATAGACCAATGTCAACACTGGCAAGTATTCACTAACCTTCTTTAGGAGGTCCTTCAAAGCCATGGTTAAAGAAAACTAGTAATGGATGTTTTACTACTCATTAGTGTAAAATAAACAGTGACCGAACCATGAGATCGGCTATTGTGAATTTTTGTTCAGGCAGAGGCTCTTTTTATATCGTGAATTATCGTCACAATCCTTTATCATTGTCAAAGTGTTCACAAAAATCTTTGATGTTAATCACGTTGACGAGGTATACTAGTAAGGATAAGGCGATATAAAAAATATTCAAAGAATCATCTAAATTCGAAAATTACAAATATAATTAATTACTGAAGTACTGGCACAGCTGAACCCTATGTAACATTATTATAACTTTAAACAAAACCGACCTCAAAAGTTTGCTTAACAGCTTTCGCTGTGTTCGCTACATCTATTTGCAAAGTTTTATTGAAATTGGTTAACGGAAAGTAGGTGAAATCCAACAATCCGGATTCATGCCCGAAATTGCCACACTTGATGGAATATTTTCTTCAAATTTGTTTAGAACCACTATTGAGGTACCCCCTTTACAACAAAAAAGAATCCGCGAAATCGGTTCACATGATATCGGAGTAATCGAATAACAAACCCAAAAAAGACAGTCGAATTGAGAACCTCCTCCTTTTTTAAAATCGGATAAAAATTAAATATCCTGTACTTTTGTACAGGATCATTGAATAAAATCACGGCTGACTTAGAGACATTTACCTAGAAAATTCGAGGATTTCCCTTGACTTCCATGGGACGCCCTCGTCAGATTCTAACTTGATGACAATGGGACCACCTTGAGAGTATATCCTTTTAAAATAAAAAAGAATTTTCAAAATCGGTCCACAATTGACGGAGAAATCGGTGAAAACACTATACATGCCTATAAAATGAAAGAATTTCCCTCGATTTCTATAAGATCCCCTAACCAGATCCTAGCTCGGTGACAAAAGAATTTTCAAAATCGGCACAATTGACGGAGAAATCGGTGAATATACATAAAACATACTTACAGTCGAATATGTACCGTTCTCTTTTTTTGAAGTTGTTTAAAAATTTACTTTCTAGTGAGAAGAATATTGATTGTAATATTGTAATAAATTTCAACGTACGAAACGAAAATTTATGCCACATAACTAAATATTCTGGAACACTTAATTCTACCTTTACCTACTTTGCCTACTAAGATTAAGCAAGAAATTACGACATACCTAAACGCAAAGTTCAGTTTAATATTAATTATTAAAGTAAATTTAGCCTCACGGACAAGTTATTTACAGTCAAACAATTCATTTACCTTGTGTTATATGAAATACAAAAGCTAATAATTTTGAACTTGTAAAAAATGTAAAAGCAGGTCCATATTAAGCTACAAATAATAATTTTAATTTTGTATATTGCTGACAGGTTTAGCGAACAGGGATTAGTAAGCTGTTATCGACGACACTCTCTCTGATTACACCAACCAATAATCAGTATGGTGCAAATGAAAAAAGCCATGATTGGTAGAATTAACACAAATAATCCAAAGTTGACATTTATTTATATCGCTTCTATTTGTATTCGTACATAAGGCGATACTCGTGACTTTGCTTGCGCTTTTGTACCCAATATAAAATATTTTGTTATTTACCTTTTTTATGATACCAAGTGACAGGACGAACAAGTCATGCGCCTGGTCGTAAGCGACAGGCCTGTCCATAACAGTTGCGCAGACTGCATGCGCACTCATTAGGGAGCTGTAACTGTAACGGGACAGATACAATGACGAGGTTCTCGTGTGTACGCATGAAACGGTCTTCAATCAGACGGCTCACTGCCACTGAGGACTGCACGCGTTCTGCTAGCGGCAAGTTCGCGAACCACGTAGACACTATGATTTTTGGTTATATAATATGCAACGGTTACGGTTAGGGCGCGTTCCCACTATGTCGTGACGACAGATTGTCGTGCAGTTTACAGTGTCGTGGCTTGTATATTTAAATGCAGTTGTTCACATATAGCATGACACGATTAACTGTCGTTTACGATTTTTTAACATTACAACGACAAACTGACGTCACAGTGGGAACAGCTAGAACGACAGTCGTCACACAATAAAAAAAACGTCACGATAAAAACGTGACGACAGATTGTCGCAGCCCCTATTGTCGTCACATTTTATTTATCGCTGTCCACTTTGCAGTAGCGTTGGGTCGTAGCCAGAGATGGGCAAGGAGGCTGTCGTGAAACGATAAATTGTCATGACGATCTAGTGGGAACAGCTAGTCACGACAGTCGTTCAACGATTAAAAATCGTCCACGACAGATAGTCGTGATATGGGAACAGGCTAGACACGACAGTCGTCTAACGATAATAAAACGTGACGACATAGTGAGAATATATATATATAGTTGCCGATTAAACCTTTGTATTTAATAGCTATCTTGGCATGGACTGCTTTTTTAACAAATCGGTTCAAAAGATAGTTATTAATTCATGTAAATGACACAGCAGGCGTATTGGAGGGGTCCTGTTACGCCATGTCGCAGTCTATATTTCATATGATTTTCATGCAATTTCGTGAAGTTTCAGTGAAATTACATAAACAGTTGAAACGTATGTTGGAGTGAGAGGAATAAATAATTAACATTAGTGGAAATAAGCTAAATTTTTTGACCAAAATGTAAATATAATCAACTACCTCCAAAGCAAAGTTTCATATTATTGTTCTTATGGTAACCTTAGCTTAAAAAAGGTAGCAGTAGAGCTCCTTGTGAAAGAGTTTGTCCAGGTAAGTACTGGCAGGTTACCCATATAGCCGAATAACGGCCAAACAGAAATAATGTGTGCGTTTCGGTTTTGAAGGGTAAGGAAGCTGGTGAAATTACAGACACATGAGACTTGTCAACTTATATCTCAAGGTGACAGAGAGCGCAGTGGCAGTGTGTCTTAGATTTTTGCTATTTTAACCTTTAAGTGGCATTGCATCTGCTATGGACAGGCATGTCGCTTAGCGCCGGGCGCACGACTTGTTCTTCCCGTCACTTGTATCGCAAAAAAAACAAAGAGTGAGAATAATATCTTGGATATGATTACTCGATTGTTATATTTTGATAAATTACATATATAATATAATTAAATATACAAAGATGATATTATATATATGGTGCGATAATGTAGATAAAGTAATAATGTGTGATAGACAAACGGAGTTACTGATTATCAGTACGTACAGATTTTAAGCTATTACCTCAGTGTAGATCACGAGACCAAAATATAACCTTTCACAACCCTTTGACAATGGGTACTTTGATAATGGTATATTTTGATTACTTGATAAATTTCTAAAATAAATCCAGTTTAATTGAATGGCTGTGTAAAAACTCGGTAAATCTTACTCTTCATTGATTAAATGAGTATAATAAATAAACGTCCGAAATATTTTAAAAGAGAATTCAGTTTAATAAGCGACAAGACGAATAGGGACTTTACACTTATAAGTTATAAAAGTTATACTTAATTATATTTTCCGAACAATTCATACTTTTGTTAACAAAAAAGCCTGTCAAGTTTTAACTATTCTCATTTTAAAATCAAATGTTGAAAAACGGGCTAGCTCTGTGTGTTTATTTGAGAGAATTATTTCAATCCAAAAAAATATTTTATGTCCTTTTCTCAAAACTTAAATCCTCTCGAGCAGCAGAAATTAATCAATTACCCTGGTATATTATACAATATTGTATTTCTATAAAAAGATCTGGCTCTTAACTTAGTATTTACAATAAAAAGATAGGGCTTTCAAAGATTGTTAATTATACTATTTGACTCACTTATAAAATCCATTAAGGCTCTACCACTCACCCGTCTATTTTGCTGCTGTACAATTAAATTCGATGCAGTAATCCCGTTTCCGTAATGTTGCATCTTCTACGAATATATTCACTGATAGTCTTGCTCAGGCCTATTCACGATATATAGGCTTTCACGGGATGACTATGTTGAATCTAGATAAACATAGGCAGGCAAATCTTAGATGTAGAAATAAATCATGGAATATGGCACAAAGTCTAAGGCTCAATTTAAATTTGTAATCAGATCGTACGATTTCGTTACAAACGTAAATTATATACTTTGTAGCATTATGCTAGCATATAGAACGTTATGTCCATCCTCACTAGATACGATGCGGCTGCTGTTGGAATTTCAGAAACCGCGGGAGAATTCTCCGGAAGTTGCGCGACCTAGTTGTCGCCGTGCGTTTAGTTGGTACTTTACACCATTGACGTACCTACTTTATTGTAAAGTTCAATAAAATTCGCTTCCATTCCGTTCCGTGGCACCAAATTGAGCCATAGACTACAAGTAAAGAAAAAACTCATAATTAGGAGGATGGAAAAATAGTCTAAATAATTATTACATAGGTAATGAACTTCGGCTCAACTCACACTGGCGCAGTGGCGAAGCGTGACGATGCGTCATGTTTTTCGAGTATAGCATATTCATCTCTATTTTCCCATTATTAAGGTACAAATTTGTGTTATGCAAATATGGAGTCAAGCGTCTACGCGCGTCGACGAGTGTTACTTGAGCGCGTCGACGTCGTCGCCAGGCGTTGTAGTTGAAAAATAGGACGCGACGAGTCGCTTCGACTCTGCGCCAGTGTGAGTTGAGCCTACGGAATTTTTTCCATCCTCTAATACGCACATTAACAACTGGACAAAAAGCAAAAATATAAATGTAACAATGGTATCAAGTTTAGGTACTGTATGATTAATGTGTATGCATGTGTAGGTACAGTTTATGCCTGATGAAGATACCTGACCCCTTAACCGTATGTTTGGTTCTGATTAGGGACAGGTAAGACGGTTAGCGTGAAAAAAGTGCCACCCGTAAAATTCATTTTGATTGGTATGATTTCTGATTGATGTATTGCATAATTAGTGAATGATGATTTAAGACACTTTTAGTAGCAGTAGATCTCCTTGTGAAAGAGTTCGTCCAAGGAAGTTTATGTAAATAAGTTGGACACTTAATTACATGTTTAGATACCTTTTGACTAGATATCTTTGGCAAAATTATGAACATAAAAAATGCACAATGGAGTCATGTACTTAGCAGAGGGCTAATTTAGTTTAGGTATGTTATTATCTAAAGCACAATACAATTAATCGTAAGAGGCCACTTAAGTTTTAAGTTTCCTATAAGTAACATGAGTTTCTCTGCGTTGGCGTCGTCGTTGCAAGGTTACGAGATCTAACCGAGTAGACGTAGATGCTGAGATCTTTTAAGTTTCTTTGGTTACTTACTACTACTTCTCTAACTACTACTACTAGTCTACTACTAGTCTTTTTGCTCTATTCGATTTTTTATTAGGTATACCGGAGCCCAGCAGCTCTTATTATTTTACATTTTCCAAAGTTCTGCACATTTGCTCTCACAAAATATTTTTTAAATTTAATATTTTTCCCGTGATTCCATTGTATTAAAGATTCGCGATGCGTGATCTTCTTGACTTCTTTCGTGGGCAACAATACCTTAAGCCTTGCCAAATTCTTTCATCACGATAGTAAACATGCTCCAAGGATAGTTCAGCGTGGCAGTTACTAGTGGCATACCCTGTCAGCGTGGTTCAGCTGTTGGTTGTAATATTACAATGTAGATGCGCTAAGAAAAAGACGGTTGGTGCCTTCATTGGTGCGGTTGCTGGTGCAAACATAATGTATATATTTCGGTTCAAGTATAACAAGATATTATGTTAGTAAAGAAAATTAATTCTCTAGGCCGAATGACGACTCCTTTATTTTTATACTTTTTTCACAGTTTTGTACATTTAAGCGGACAGAATTTTACAATTAAATGTTTCTCCCATTGTCGTAACCCATGTGAGCTTTGACTTCAATTATTATCAGATCACAGATCAAAATGCAAAATTTCAGCTTTATTATGGCTTGTAGAATAAATAGTGTTCTTTATTTTAGTTTAAAAAATTGAAACTACAAAATTCCACTTGTAGATTGCAATTTGAGTGAATACAAGAAAGTTTCACTTTCTTACGTGTTAAGCAGAAAAATTTAAAGGAACTGCAGCTTTTTGGTTGAAATTTGTATTTATGTTCTGTAATTCAAGATCAAATTGGCTTAAAAAGTGTTTTTTTTTTATTAGGCACACGACTTGTTCGTCCCGTCACTTGGCATTGTAAAAAAAAGATCTTAGGGGCACTTCCACTGCGTCTGTCATCCTGAGACATAAGTTGACAAGTCCTATGTGCCTATAATTTCACCAGTTCCCTTTTACCCTTCCAAATTGGAACGCAGTAATAGGTACTCACATTACTGTTTGGCGGCAGAAATACGTAAATAAAGTGCCAATTGCCAGTACTTTCCTGGACGAACTCTTTCACAAGGAGACGTTGAATGACATTTTAAGACACGTTTAGTTAGCAGTAGTGCTACTAATAGTGTCTTAAAACGTCATTCACTAATAATGCAATATATGGAAATCATACGAATCAAAATGAATTTTACGGCTCACTGGTTAACGGTCAAGTTTGTTAGACACTTTTTTCACACTAACCGTCCTTACCTGTCCCTAACCAGAACCAAATAGACGGTTAAAGGGCCACGTATCTTAAGGCATCAACTGTACCTACACATCCATAATTAATCAAACAGTACCTAAACTTGATACCATTGTTACATTTAGGTACATGTTTGCCTTTTGTTAAATTGGTAATGTTGGTATTAGAGGATGGACAAAATTCCATAGGCTCAACTCACACTGGCGCAGTGGTAACTCGTAATATTACTTATAGGAAACTTAAAACTTAAGGGGACTCTTACAATTAATGATATTGTACTTTAGATAATAACACACCTAAACAAAATCGGTCCTCTTCTAAGTAAACGTATCCATTGTGCATTTTTTTATGTTCATAATTTTGCCAAAGATATCTAGTAAAAAGGTACCTAAACATATAGGCAAGTGTCCAACTTATTTACATAAACCTACTGTAATTTTATTTACATATACACAGGTATTGGCGTACCAACAAGTCCAAAGCGCCATCTTATTGTTTTAGGAAATTGGGAAACGACTGCATCTCGGGCGTTCACGGAATTTTTAGGCAGGTAAGCACATTATATAAGTAATCAGAGTGGACTCCTATACGATTTATCTAGCTCGTATGAGCGTACTCGATCCGAGAGTACTCGTGTAGTGAAAACCCGTCTTAAATGGAGTAGTTTATAAGCTTGACTGACAATATGGCCTCTGTTAAGGGGCTATTCCACCAACGAGACGAAACGAGTACGTTATTTATGTAATTTTAGTAATTTGTATGGCAAAATTTCAATTCTCTCCTAACGCATCTTCGGTGGAAATGGTTTGGATTGACGAGAATGGACAAGGCGAGAATTGAAATAATTGTTGATGTAATATTGAACCGTTTTACTTCTCATATAGATTATACCTAATACTCCACAATGGAAACAATTTCTCTATTAACTTTTTTTCTCAATTTCACTAATAACGCGAGCTCCCGTGAATTATAATGGTAATTTTTGGTGGAAAAAGGCCGGCAACATTTCAATTCTCGTCTCGCTTCGCCTCGCCAATAAAAACCACCTCTACATAGGACAGACGTAATGAAACATTTCCATCCGCACAAATAACAAAGGGGACAAGGACCTTGAAACATTTTTTACATAACTGTGGTTCTAAAATCTTAAATCATTATTATTTTATTTGTTTTGTTTGTAATGTATATGTTACTGGAAATGTATGTAATCCGTCATTATATACAATTCCTAGGAAATGTATGTAATTCCTAAAATCGCACGGAAATGTGTAAAATAAATTATATTAGACACATTTCCTAGGAAATCTATACATTTCCTAAATAGCAATCGGAAATGTACAACATTTGAGATTTCAATGGGTACGCGGGGATAGCGGGGCGAGGGGAGGGTATTGCTTCGTCTGATCAGGCGATCGCGCTAGTAGACATGGGGAATAGCGTTACATTTCTATCGCCGTGACCGTCGTTCCGGTTCCAAAAAAATCACAGTGATAAATCATCGTGATTTTGTCACGACTGTTACTTCCGTGACCTTGTCACGCCTATAACTTACATCACGATATACGGTTTTAGCCAGCGGCTTCTTTCTAATACTTATAGCCGTTTTTTATACAATGATTAAATTTTTACTCCCTTTGTAATAAGTTTAAATTCCATTCAAAAAGTTAATTTTGTATATAATGTAATTTTGTTTGTTACTTATTTAATGCGAACCTTAGGATTGTTAAAAATAGCAATCAAGTGTAATGTAATTATATTTCTAGTAGAATACACAAAATAGATTATACATAAATATAAAATACCAACTCTTCCTATAATAAAACAAATATACAAAATATTTTACTTTGTTCATAAATTGGTTTATAATAACTGCTGCAGATTTTTTTCATCCGCCCTCTCTAGTAGTAATAAGCACCTACGACCTTTGTGAGTGAGCAAAGAAAGTCATCCTATTTCATTCACTCCCATCGCCGAAATGGCTCGATTTGAAGAGAAGAACTACAACGAGTGGCGCGCTCAGTCACCACGGAACGGAGATCGCGCATTGTATCAAATACGTATGTCGTGATGTGAGTGACGGGGATAGCTATTGGAACGGAGGAACACCTATGTGACTTTGGAACGTCGTTCCTTCGGAACGAATCACGGTGATACTGTTTGCCAGCGGATCATCGTGATTTTTTCATCGTGACGTTATTTATCACCCACCGCTACGCGCTAGTGCCGCGTAAACTGTCAGTGCGTATGCGCGTCGCAGTCCCTCTGGGCAGCAACGAATTGTATTATTTAGGTTAAGTTAGGTTTTTTTTATACAAACGCGGAAGACCCTCTGGACAGAAACGAATCGGATTATTTAGGTTAAGGTTGGTTTCTTTATACAAAAGTCCCTCTGGGCAATGAGTGCTTTAATAAAAAATATTATTCTCATTTTAATGTGTTTTATTACAGAAAGCATTATTTTTATACATTTCCTAATACGATATTGGAATTATATACAATTCCTAGGAATTGTACACATTTTCTAGGACATTTATGTAACTAATAGTTTTTGAAACAATATTTTATACATTTCCTAGATAGCTTCGGAATTGTATACATTTCCTAGGATTTGTATACAATTCCTAGATTTCATATATTTCCGGTAACATATATAACATGTATTCTCAAGATCCCTCCAGTAGAACCTTTGAATTCATCATTGTAAATGAAAATTACTTATTTATTGCTGAATATTTTTATTAAATCCGTCATCAAAAAGCTTTTATAATATATACAGTTTATAATATATAATATATATATATATATATATGTATATAGCTTCGGAATTGTATATATTTCCTAGGATTTGTATACAATTCCTAGATTTCATATATTTCCGGTAACATAAAGGTATAACATGTATTCTCAAGATCCCGCCAGTAGAACCTTTGAATTCATCATTGTAAATGAAAATTACTTATTTATTGCTGAATATTTTTATTAAATCCGTCATCAAAAAGCTTTTATAATATATACAGTTTATAATATATA